CACAGTGTATCCTGATGCATGCTCAATAATCCAGGTTGCACAGTGTAGCGCTGAGAATCTTGGACAAAGTGTGTGGATGAAGGTCACAGTTGTTGTGAGGGGAAGGCTCATATGCTGCTGCTCCTCCTCCGTCAACCTGGGATTACAACAATGAAACAAAGCCGTGCTGCACCGCCGCTCCATGGGGAAACAACATGTTTGTGCATGTGTATGTTTGTGTGTGTGTGACAGAGGAAGGGAGAGGGTTGTCTGCTCTCATGTGCCTCTCTTTCTGCCTGACTGACGATGACACCGAGCAAAGGCTTCATTCTGTTTTGCAGCCTCTACCTTTTGGGGATAATGAATAATTAGGTTAGCGCCACAAAAACCTGGGTACCACAGGGACCTGGAGTCAAGCTACTGTCTGCTCAGAGATCCAATCTGAAATGTTGTTTTTGAACTAATGGGCATCTGAATTATAGTTTTATTTAGATTAACTACACTTTGCATTTGATGGTGTCAAACACCCAAGTACTTCGACAGGAAAATGTTTTTTTAATCTTTAAAATGTTACTTTTAGATCATAAATATTTACTGAAACATCCATCCATCATCTATACCCGCTTCTCATTTTCGGGTCATGGAGGGGTCACTAGTGTCCATATCCAGCTGTCACTGTGCGAGAGGCGGGGGACACCCTGGATAGGTCTCCAGTCCATCACAGGGACATCACAGGGACACATAGAGACAAATGAGACAAACAACCATTCATTCTCTCTCTCACCTAAGGACAGTTTAGAGTTACCAGTCAGTCTAACATGCATGTTTTTGGTTTGTGGGAGGAAACCGGAGTTCCCGGAGAAAACCCACGCAGCACGGAGAGAACATGCAAACTCCAGCCAGAAAGGTCCCAGCCGGGATTTGAACCGGCGACCTTCTTGCTGAGAGGCAACAGCTCTACCAGCTGTGCCTCAGTGCTGCAGTTTTTCTGTTAATACTTCAAGTTTGCCCATTTTAATTAATTTGAACATTCAAAAATTACCGCCAATGCCTTTTTTCTTATGTGCTTTGTGGCAGTCAGCAAAGCATCTATTTTAGATTATACTTTTTAAAATTTAATTTACAAATAAATCATTTTCATGCTTGTTCTTGAGCCTGAAATGTCTCACTTTGTTAACTAGAAACACTCATCACACTTTTCTACAGTCCTGCTGAATATAACACAAAAGCACCATTGTAATCTGACTGATGACGTTATCGTGTTTATCTTGTCTTTCTTCCTCCATGTTCTCCTCCTCTTCTCTCCTGGTGCAGATTGTCCTCAGACAGGTGGAGGCGAGACCAACATATCACTCAGTTCCAATGGTGAAGACTCAGAAGAGACTCAGATGAGGCTACAGCTCAAAAGGAAACTGCAGAGAAACAGAACATCCTTTACACAGGACCAAATAGAGGCACTTGAGAAAGGTACTTGTAAAATGTTGATTAAAAAAGTTACAACTACCTACACAACTACACTACAACCCACAACACAAAAGCATCCAAAGAGACAACACCTCTCCAACTGGGTTGCAATGGACTATCAGGTCCTCAACCAGAGGCCTGTGAGCTTGAGGTTCTGTTCTGTATCTTAGTTGCTCCTAGGACTGAGCTCTTCTGGACAGAGATCTCTGAGGTTGTTCCTGGGATCTGTTGGAGCCACTCTTCCAGTTTGGGGGTCAAAGCAACAAGTGCTGCAATGACCACTGGGACTACTGATGTTTTGACTCTCCACAACTTCTGTATTTCTTCTTTCAGTCTTTGGTATTTCTCCAGCTGCTCCTTCTTCCTGATGTTACAGTCTCTTGCGATGGCTACATCTATCACCATTGCCTTCTTCTCTTGCTTGTCGACCACCACAATGTCTGATTTGTTAGTCATCACCTGTTTGTCGTCTGTATCTGGAAGTTTTACAGTGTCTTAGCCCTGCCATTGTTCACTGTTCTTGATGGAGTGTCCCACTTTGAACATGGGACCTCCAGTCTATACTCAGCACAGATGTTCCTGTATATTCTTCCAACCAATTGTTTATTTAGCTCCAGTAATCCTTTGCCTATCTTACATCCTACTATTATATGGCAAACTGCAGCTCTTTGCACAGACTTCATCTTGGATATTGTCTGATATGGTAGACCCTATATTCTACTGTTCTTGTGTCAGAGGAAACTTTACAAATGCCACTAGAGCCTGGTTTATGTTTGGACTGTTTTTGTCCTGTTGAGCTCTCTGGATTTTTCAAAATAATAGCTTCATCCAAACCATCCACATGTCTGCTAGATCCCATCCCAACCAGGCTATTTATATTTCCCTTAATTAATAACCACGTCTTGGATCTGCTTAATTTGTCTCTAATAAACAGTTACGTACCACTGCACTCTAAAATTGTATCATTTAAACCTTTACTTAAGAAACATGACCCTGACTCAGGAATCCTAGCCAATTATAGATCTATATCTAATGTAGCTTTCATCTAAAAAATTCTAGAGAAAATAGTTGCAGGTCAGTTACGTGATCGTCTGCAAAGAAATAATCTGTTTGAAGAGTTTCAGTCAGGGTTTAGAGCTCACCACAGCACAGAATATGCACTGGTGAATGTAACTAATAATATTCTCATGTCCTCTGACGATGGACAGGTGTCTCCACTGGTCCTGTTAGACCTCAGTGCTGCATTTGATACAGTTGATCATAATATTCTATTACAGAGACTTGAATATAATATTGGAATTAGAGGAACAGCTCTAAATTGGTTTAAATCATATTTATCTGATAGATTCCAGTTAGTAAATGTTATTAATGAATCTTCTTCATACACTAAAGTTAGTCATGTAGTTCCTCAGGGCTCAGTGCTTGGACCAATACTCTTTACCTTATATATGCTTCCATTAGGTAAAGTTATTAAACAGCATGGGATAAATTTTCATTGTTATGCTGATGATACAGTTATATTTGTCCATAAAACCCAAGGAATCCAATCAGCTACTTAAACTACAAGCATGTCTTAAATGTTGCTGTTCGGCTATTTTACAACAGTCACAGCCCAGTGGGTATAAGCTTTTGATATGAGTAAAGTTTTCTTCATTCTTGGCTACATAACTGACTTGAACAAAAAACTCATTGCTCACAATTATATAGCCATAACCATAAAAAATAAACCAAAATATATTTCAACTGAAAAGTCTAACAGATTTCTCAAAAAATAGAAATTTGATCTCAATATACAATCAATAAACAGTTGTTTTTTTTTAGGCCAAAAAGTATATCAAAAATACCTAACCCTGAACTGGTTGGCACTTTTTGACAATTTGCACTAGTTTGTACTGTTTCATTAAACTGTTTAAATTATTATTTGTAAATGAGATATTTTATCTGTGATTGTACATCTGACACACAGTAAGGACATAGACAGCCCATTAGAGCTCCATGTTCCCAGTTTTTAAAACTGATCGACAGAGCTGGCATCGTTTCTGAATTGTGACCAGACGCTGCACGTATTTGAACAATAAACCATCCCTAATGAAATGCTTTGATTTTCTTTATATTCTAGAATTTGAAAGGACTCACTATCCAGATGTTTTTGCTCGTGAACGTCTTGCAAACAAAATAGACCTTCCTGAAGCAAGAATACAGGTAAGTTGTAGATTTTATCTTTTCAGACTGTTTTATACATGCACGGAGATGCAATGGTTATCCTTTATGATACAGTACTTACTGATAAAGAGCAATAACAAACTGTAACTGAAAACTTGACCATCAAAAATTCATTCTTTGTTGAAATCAGGTCTCTCTTGTAAATGACCCAGAGAAGGACGGAACAACCGAGTCAGAACCTCTCACAGAGGAGAGGATCACGAAGGAGAAAAACCGTCTTGAGTCAGGCAGTGAAGACTTTGTTGATGAAGAGGGTGATGTCCAGAACCACCCTGACTGGGCCAACAGAACCAAACATCCATTTCTGTTCAGTGCCCTGAGATAACTTCTGGTGTGACTTGGCGCTACATAATTAAACTGGAATCGAAACATTCTCCAGGGTTTTCAATTTCTCTGCATGAGTCTGAGGCTTGCAGTCCTGTTTGAAATTTGAACATGTTCAGAAACTTTGTTTTCTCCAAATAGTTCAAAAAGTTAGCTCTTCTCAAGGTAACTTCTCCCTGGGTTGAGTAGTTGGCTAAAAGCAAGTTTCCAGAATGTGCTTTTTTGAATATAAGGTATTTGAAATTTGTTGCATCAGCAGTACATCTCAAAACTGTTGGTGCGGGCACAGTGTGGAAGATGAGGGCAACAGAATAATGTGTGCAGCCAAGAACACAGTTTGTCATGTCAAACACATGAAAATAGGCCAAGAGTTTAAAAAACTGGCTGCTCAAAATGTGGCCATGAGGCTTAATGGTCACTTGGTTGCAAACACTCAAGATCAGTAAGACTGCTGCTGAAAATTCATGCAATGTCTTTCAAATTATTTACAGATTTTTTTTCAACTACTAGTTTCCAAACAGTCCAAATGACATTCCATGTATAAGAAAGAAACAAATTCAAGGCCACAGCTCCAAATGCCCAGGGGTTTAAACCACACCAGAGATCAAATAAAAATTATTATTAATAAACTGGTCCAAAGCTATACATTTTTAAATTGTAGCAAATTATTTCATAAATGTAGAGGCAGCTGACAAGGTGGGTACAAAGTGGGCTGAGATGAGTACAATGTGTACAGTATAGCCTAGAATACAGTTTTGACAACGATGCTTACAAAACCAGATCGTTCTTTTTGAGACACATCGCTCACTAGTGGCCCAGTCACGCTCTGAATGCAGCGGAAATATCACCTACTTTCTTGCAATTTTGTGTCACCACATAGTTTCTAAACTTACAGCCCAGTGAGAGAGACTACCTTAACAATCTGTGGATGGAACACCATCAGAGGATCATTGGTGCCCAACCACAAGACACACTGGTAGACACTGGGAAACTGTCAGTCTGAAAAAGGAGACCCCTTTGGCGTGGCTATGCCGGGGGTTTCTTGGGTTTTGCAGGCCTAATGGAAATCTTGATAAATCGTTCAGCAACTTCAAAAACAAAACCAAGGCCTTGGACTGGTGTCAAGTAGTGGAAGCAGGAATGAGGGAGAGTTTGAAGGCTCAGGGAAAGCAAGTCCAGTTTCCAGTGGATCTGTTGAGTTTGCACACCAATCTTGGTTAAGTGGAAAATGAATCAGTGAATAGAGTTCAGATCTCCGTTTAGCAAAGTCACTCTAAGAGCAGATCTTTCAATGTTGGAGGAAGAAATTAAACAAGAATGTTAATGGTGGCACAGTTGGCAGAGCTGTTGCCTCTCAGCGTGAAGGGTGCCGGATCGAATCCTGGTGGAGGGGCCTTTCTGGGTGGAGTTTGCATGTTCTCTCTGTGCATGCATGGGTTTGCTACATGTACTCTGGTTTCCCCCCACAGACCAAAAACATGCATGTTAGGCCGATTGGTAACTCTAAAGTGTCCCTAGGTGAGAGAGAGAGTGAATGGTTGTCTCGTTTGTCTCTATGTGTCCCTGTGATGGACTGGAGACCTGTTCAGGGTGTCCCCTGCCTCTCACACAGTGACTGTTGGACATGGGCACCAGTGACCCCCATGACCCGAAAAGGAAGAAACAAGTAAAGATAATGGATGGATGGATATATGGATGAGTGGATGGGTGGATGGACAGACGAATGGATGGAGGATGGATATTCAGGCAGGTTTTGCAACTACTGGTCTCAGCAAGAATGTGCTTTAGTCAAACCAAAGACTGTTCTCCTACAGTATCAGTAACCACTGACTGCACAACGTCCAGTCATGGATTCAAGTGTTGCTTTCTATCATAACTCCATGTCAAAGTGTAGCTAATGGTGATGTAATACTCCTGGATAATAACAATCCATCTGTTTGTCGTGTTTCTTTTTTATTTTGGCATGTGCAGGTTTGGTTTTCAAACAGACGAGCGAAGTGGAGAAGAGAAGAGAAGTTAAGGAATCAGCGTCGACAGTTGTCCAACTCCTCCAGTCATATTCCCATCTGCAGCAGCTTTAGCACCCCTGCTTGCCAATCTCTCCCGCAGCTGACTACACCAGGTGCTGATGAGAACATTCAATGAACAACTAACTACATTTTCACTGTTAACAACCAAACACATTATGATTTTTGGGGGGGATTTTGTTTTTTTTTTGCTGATAAAATTGTGCCTGAAAGAATTATTGCTGAAAATGAACTTGGTAGGACACAAGTTGACTGGTGGCAGCCAGTTCTTGCATCATCAATGCTTGGACTTTTACAGTATTTGTGTGTGTGGTGGTGGCATGAACCACCTACCATTTGTGTTCTGTCCAGGATTCAAGCTGGGGAAGCATCCTCACCATAGACCCAAATTTTAAATGTTCTGTTCCCTGAGCTACTTTTGTTATCACTTCTACCGTATGGCACGGCGCTCCATCGTGATGAAAAAAGTAACTGGTTGTTACCAAACTGTTCTTGAAGGGTTGTGAGAAGTCATGTTCAGAGTATGTTTAGGTAACATTTTTGTTTATGGGTGTGTTCTTAGGCAGTTCGGGAGCACAGTTGGTAGAGTTGCTCAGTGTACAGGTCACTCCGGTTCAAATCCCGGTCCGGGGGTGTTTGGGTGGAGTTTGCATGTTCTCTCTGTGCTGCGTTGGTTTTCTCCGGGTGCTCCGGTTTCCTCACACAGACCAAAAACATGTATGTTAGACTGATTGGTAACTCTAAATTGTCCCTAGGTGAGAGAGAGAATGGTTGTTTGTCTCGTTTGTGTCTATGTGTCCCTGTGATGGACTGGAGACATGTCCAGAGTGTCCACTGCCTCTCGCACAGTAATGGCTGGATATGAGCACCAGTGACCCCTGCGACCCAAAAAGGAAAGAAAAGAAAACGGTAAAGATAAAGGATGGATGGATAGATATGTTCTTAATTCAATTCAATTCAGTTTATTTATATAGCACCAAATCACAACAAAGTTGTCCCAGGGTGCTTTGTGGCATGGTGTGGAAACAATCATCTCATCTTGAATGTGAACAAAACAAAGGAGATGATTTTAGATTTCAGGAGAAACAGGAACAAGGTCCAACCCTATTTCCATCATGGGAGAAGAAGTGGAGGTGTTGGAGAAGTATAAATACCTTGGGGTTCACCTGGACAACAGACTGGACTGGAAATGCACCAGTGAAGCGTCTACAAGAAGGGACAGAGCAGACTGTACTTCTTGAGGAAGCTGAAGTCCTTCAATGTTTGCAGCAAGATGCTGCATATCTTCTATAAGTCTGTTGTAGAGATCCAAAAAAGTTCAATCTGGTCCTCTGGACATTAAAAAAATAAAAAACAAAGCAAAAAAAAGAAAAAAGAAACCTCCAGCAGAACCAGCTCAGGACAAGCGGCCATCTGCTTTGACCGGCTGGTTGAGAGGACAGGAAGGAGAGACAGACGAACACAGAATGGTAGGTCCAGGTGTAGGTGCAGGTGTACCTGAAAGACAAGTGAAGTTTGTGACCCATCACATCAAATCAGGGCTTAAGTCATGAATTGGTAAAAAAAAAAAAAAAAAACGAAGAGAATTTTACGATTCCTGGGTTTTGATTTCGAGATCATTCATGATTCACAGATCAACATCCATCCATCCATCCATCCATCCATCCATCATCTTTTATCCGCTTCTTCCTTTTTGGGGTCACGGGTCACGGGGGTCACTGGTGCCCATATCCAGCAATCACTGTGAGAGGGGTGAGGGACACCTGGACAGTTTTCCAGTCCATCACAGGGACACCCTGGACAGGTCTCCAGTCCATCACAGGGACACCTGGAGACAAATGAGACAAACAACCATTTACTCTCTCACTCACACCTAGGGAAAATGTAGTTACCATCAGTCTAACATGCATGTTTTTGGTCTGTGGGAGGAAACTGGAGCACCTGGAGAAAACCCACGCAGCACGGAGAGAACATGCAAACTCCACCCAGAAAGACCCCTGGCCGGGAATTCAACCAGCGACTTTCTCACTGAGAAGCAACAGCTCTACCAACTGAGCCATTGTGCTGCTGTTTGACAGGGATCCTTGTTAAATTACTTATTAGAAATCTTGATATACTTCAGCTATATAGTTGTGGTCACAAGTCTGCAACTTTTTGTTGGTCAAAAGTTGAAAAGTCTGGGAACCTTTATTCTAGACCCGGGGAGTCCCATCCTGGTCCTCAAACACCCATATTCTGCATGTTTAAATAAAAAAAAATCTGCTCAGACACACCTGATTTTAATAAATGGTTGATTATGGGCTTCTGCAGAGCATGAAAAGATAACTAACAACTGAATCGGGTGTGTTAGAGCAGGGAACCAGATAAAGCATTCAGGATAATGGCCCTCCAGCACCAGGATTGCACACCCCTGTTCTAGGCATTAAAGACAAATGAGTACTATTACAATGTGCTATGTTGTAACAATTTTCTAACCATTTGTGTTGTTCCATTCTGCATCTCTTTGTTTAGTGTCCTTTCCTTCAGGATCCATTCTGACAAGGTCCGATCAAGTTCTGTCCAACAGCTATGGCCTACCGGCAGTGCCCAGCTTCAGCATGGCTCCCAGCCTTCCCATGCAGGTCAGAAGGTTTTACAAGACTTTACAATTCAGAACGAGTGCTTCGTCTGTATAAAAGCACATCTTAGTCCAATGCATCTCAGTCAATGCCCCAGCTGCAATGCCATAAAATAGAGCACCAAGACTGCGCTGGTTATTTGTGAAGATATTGTCCAACTCTGAACCTCTAATTTGTGGAAGTTGCCTAGCACTAATTGTAGCAGTGAGTCATTGTGTGATAATTCAAAGGTGAGCAGTTTTAAAATACTGTATGTAACCCTTTCATTTATCTTTTAAATGTGTATGCATTCCTCCTGAGTGCATGGGGTGTCTCTAGGTACTCCAGCAATTCAACAACATGCATGTTGGCCTTCTGGTGACTCTAGAATAAACTTAAGAATAAGTAAGAGAAAAATAGTGTTATAAAAACACTTGTTACTGTTAGCAGCATGGTCCTGTTAGCAGCATGGTCCTGTTAGCAGTGTGGTTCTGTTAGCAGCGTGGTCCTGTTAGCAGTGTGGTTGACTCAACACAATCTGCTGGCTTCCTTCCTTAGCTAGATAACTATTACTAATTGGCTTTTATAATGTATGCAAATGTTTTTGTTCAGAGCCCTGAGATAACTTCTGTTGTGACTTGTCACTATATAAATGAACTGAATTGAATTGGTCCTCTTAGCAGCATGATCCTGTTAGCAGTATGATGATAATAACGACTGCGGCAACGGACAATGACTGCCCTGCAGAACCAGGTCCAGCAGACACAGAACATCCAAAGTTCCCTGCAGAACCAAACTGTTCTGTGGAGTTCGGTCCATGCAGGTAGAAGAAGGATCATGGAGACGGCTGCCATGACAGGCGGGAGCCTGAGGCGGGGATGAGGTTATGATTGTTGAAGTGGGCGTGGATGATGGTCCTTTATAGTGGAGCAGATAAAATCAGTTTTGCACAAGACTTGTGCAAAATGTGATACAAGCCCTTAATTGGGCTTGATTGTTCCCGAGAGTCTTCTGAATAATTTTACACAATTGGCCAACTAAAAATTCAAGCTGGTGAATTTATTAATATAATCAAATTATTATTATTAATTTACTAATATGTTACTTGCATAGTTCAAGGCTACTGACAGAAAAACAAAACGTCTAAAGAAGAAGCTTATTTAAATTGATCAAGGCTGTCATCCCCAGCAGACTAACAAACTGCAGACATTGCATCTTCCTTTATTTGTGGTTCAAGAACTTCCTTTACAAACAGGCCCAAACATGTTAAGATGGGCACCTCCACATCCCTCCCTATCATCCTGAATGCCGGTATGCCTCAGGACTATGTCCTTGGTCCCATCATGTTTATGCTGTTGTTGGAAGTATCCTCTCATTCTCTGACATCGTTTACTCAAAAGAGCCACTTTGACGGCAGGTGGCAATTTTTTACCAGTATTTTATACTTGCAAAGGTCAGATTTCAGGACAGGTAACGTGCACAACATATACAGTATATATGAACATACATTGATGTATGAAAATTAGTCACAGAAAAAAGCCATGAGTTGTGTTATCTGTTCACTTTAATATTTATAAATATGTTAATTTAATAGAAACACTTAATTTTTCATAAATGTTTAATAAGTTTTAATGTGTTTTCAGGCATCAAACCAGACTTCCTATTCCTGTATGTTGCCTAACAGCCCCAGTGTAAATGGTCGGAGTTATGACACATACAATCCTCCACATATGCAGCCAAACTTCAGCAGCCAGCCAGTGCCGTCCTCCGCAACATCGTCAACAGGTAGGAGGTTACTTTTTTAAACATTGTGTACAGTTTGAGTAATAAATAAGACCATAAAGCTCTGATTTCTCTTAGATAAAAGTAAACTATCAGTTAGAAGTATTTCATAAAAAGTTAATACACAAATTAAAACATACAAAGGTAGGGGGTTACGATGTGTCCTCAAACTTCTCTCCTTCCCAATTAGAGGTTTTTGCAGAACACAAAGGGGTGTGTGTGGGTGGGGTTGTGGTCTTTCTGCCCCAGTCTAGAACTTCTTTTAGCAGCAGTAACTCTGTAGTTTCTGTAGGAATTTATCAGTCTCTCACAGGATTGTTGAGGGGATTTGGCCCACCCTTCAAGCCAACATTGCCTTAATTCATTGAGGACTGCAGACGTTGGTTTCTGCGAAGCTCTCTGAAGGTTCCACCACAGCATTTCAGTCGAGCTGAGGACTGTACTGATGCAGCACCTTGATTCCTTTGTTTTTAAATCATTCTGTTTTAGAATGGTTGTTGTCTTTGGCATAATTGTCCTGCTGCATCAAGACTCAATTTGGTCCAAGCTTCAGCTGTCAGACAGATGGTCTCACACTGGCCTCTAGAAACTTTTGGTCTAGAGGAGTTCAAGTTCCTTGAGGTGTTTGTGCCGATAGTTGCCATCTTCCATTTTGGTGTGTGGCTGCATCTATGCGTAAGAATGTTTCCTTTCAAAAATTGCTTACTATGTCAAAATTCAAGATGGCTGCAGCTTTGTACGCATATACGTACACATTTTGAGCTGGATAAGTTCAGAATTAAGCAATAAGCCAACTTCTATTTTGGTGTGGAGCTACATTTAGATGTAAGAAAGTTTCCTGTCAAAAACTGGGTTGCCAAGTCAAAATACAAGATGGCCACCACCATATATATGTAAACTGACCACTCCTATTTTTATATTACTTAAAAGTATAGGTGCCTCACAGGGTTAGGGTGGACAGAGATTAATCTATGTTGGCAAAGGTCAGCATTGTTGGGGGTACCTCATCAAAACCCAGTGAGAACCTGCATTTGGAGTTTTGTTGTGGATCCCCAGCCCTGATATTTTTTTTTTTTATTGAAACCTTTATTTTACCAGGAGAGAAATCCATTGAGATTATTAATCTCTTTTACAAGGAGGTCCTGGGCAATGTGCACGGTGCAAACAAGCCATTACAAACACAGCAACACAGTCTTAAGAACAGTAACAGTAATATTAAAACATTTACAACAAATCATCTGGTAATAAGACATAAAATACAATGCAAGTTTGTTTTTAAAAATCACAATTTAAGACACTTCTACATTACAGGTGCAAGGTGTGATTGAAACCTTTGACAGTTTTTGTTGAAAACTAGATAAATGAATAAAAGACTCCAACCTCAACTTAAGCTGCACATCATTCCAAGACCACGTGCTGAAATAGGACAAACTCATCTTTCCTGACTCCGTGCACATGAAGGGTACCTTAAACCACAGACTGGTCCTGAAACTGTTCTGTAGTTAAATGAACTTGGAGTTGATCTATGATGGTCATTTTCCTAAAATGTATTTGTATATGAAAATATACCAATGCTTCATCTTTCAAATGTTGAGTGAAGTAAGTCCAGCAACTTGGGGATATAAAGAACGATGGTGAGTCCTAAAGGGTGAACCTGTTCTATATGTCAGAGCAGCACAGGAAATGGGGTCCAGTTTAGTTAAGGTAGTTGGGGAGTCAAATCTATAGATTGTGCCTCCATAATCCAACTGTGATTAAAAACAAACTTGTTACAAGCCGCTTACGAGAAGAAATGGAAAAACATGATTTCAGTCTATACAAAACAAAGTAAATTTTAGGTTAACGACACAAAGTCCATGCTCAATAATCCAGAATCCAACATTTTTCAGTCAGGTCATCTGGACTGCATCTGGACTAAAATTTAGTTTTTTTTTTTTTTTATTAGATATGTTATATGATGTTTAAAATTAAGATCTTTATCCAGCCAAATACCAATACATTTGTATGTGTCTACAAGCTCTATGATATCACCATTCATTGTTTTAATAGAAAGAATAGTTACCGCAGAATTTTAGGAAAACAATATAAATTTGGTTTTGATAGCATTCAGGACTAATTCTGAATCACGGAGAGCATTCTTTAAGGTGTTGAACTCAGTCTGAAGATCTGAGAGTACTGCATCTAGAGAGGGCACTGACAAGTATAGAATCTGCGTACATATGGTAAGATGAAAATTTAAGCTGATCACAGATTTGATTAATATGGAGTAAAAAGAGCAAGGGCCCTAAAATAGACCCTTGTGGGACCCCCTTGTTCAGTGTGACCGCATCTGACAAAATGGAGCCAAATCAAACAAACTGAATGTGTTTAGTTAAGTAGCTTTTAAACCAACTAACCATGTTTGTATTAAAGCCACGTTTTTGTATGATATTGATTAAGTAGTGATATGTAGGATCTTGGACAGAACACTAAACATCTGTGTTGCTCCACATAATAATATACATTATATCCATCCATCCATAATCTTTTACCTGCTTCTTCCATTTTGGGTCACGGGGGTCGCCGGTGCCCATGTCCACC